ATCGAAAATATATACTTTATTTTTAAATTATATACTTTTAATAAATTTATATATAATTTTTTTATAAAATTAAAGATAAATGGATAGAAAAAGAGTAAATATATCGTGTATTATTTTAATTATAAATAGTATTAATTTTTTACATTATTTATTTAAAAATATATTAAATTTTGCATCAACATTTAACTAAATAAGCATATGAAAATTTTAATAGATGAACCATTTTACTCATACCAAAATGTAGGATGATGCACTTTTTACTGAATTCTTTGTAAATGATAGTGTGTGTATGTTATTTAAATTATGCAATTTACCTTATATTATTTGCATTAGTCAAGTAAACTTTATTTATCATATTGTATTAGAAAAATAAACTTGTTGATTCTTATAATTTTTTATGTTTTATTAATGTTAGCACATTTTTAAATTTATAATTTAAACATTTTTTTCTGTAAATGAGAACAAAATAGATTCAATTTATTCAGCATCAATCTATTGACTTTGCAAGACCCTTTTTATTTCAACACAACAGATTCGTTTTATTTTGCACACAATAATAAACAGAATACAAAACATGTGGTATTCTTGATACCCATTATGATGCAACATAACAACTCTTAATGAGTCAATACTCCTTTAGTATGGCCCTTCCTGGCACTAACAATTCATGCATCAATCCCAGGCAGTCAGCAGTAGGCATGGCCACATCCATTACATAAGAAAGATACCTGTAAAAAATGTATAGATGCCAGACCTAAAAACATTTACCAAAACAGTAACCTTCCAAAATATAAAAGCCAACAGACAAAAATTAAAGAAAAGCAAAATTCATTACCTTAGCTTGGTGTAGACATCAGAAACTCCATAATACAAGGCAAACTCGTTAACAACCATTTCATGATCCATATAATTATAAATTTCTTTTGGAATCTTTGAACCTTCATTGCAACTTCCAAGACAAGGTCATAAGCAACTGTTTCTGCAATAACCACACTAAAAAGAATGCAATTAATATCACAAAACCATTGCAGAATTAATTCATTATTTTAGATTAAACAACTAATGTTAGACAATGGTACGAAATTAAAAGCAAACAAATGGACCAAACCTTCTTCTTCAAACTATGACACGACATCAATGCAATTAATTAAGGAACTACGATTTAAAAGTTTAAGCTAATCAAGACTAGTTCACCTTGAGATGACTATTATCATCTGAAGTTGAGTATATACAGCTGAAGCTTGCCTACAGGTTCATGTTCTGGCTCACGGTAAATAGACCACCAGCGCAACTTGTCAGTCTACATTCAACTTTCATATGAACATTATTAAATAAAATAAAATTACAAATTAAGTAGAACTAATTCTCGGTATTTTAGAACAATACTAAAGCTTCAGCAGCACAGCCACTTGTACGAGGACATGACCCAAATGCTTCCCCTTGAGTCTTGAACTTCAACAATTAGTTCATCTCCCAAACTATGGGAAGCTGCAAGAGGTATCGGTTCCTATCTTGTCGTAACAGTCTCAGAGAAATTAGAGAAAGCAAGAGAGTTAAGGAATAGTTGCATACATGTGTTCACCAGATCCTGGCAGCATTCTTTGTTGTTTTCTTCAGTTGAACTTTAAGCCTCAGCATGCAGCATATGTTTCTAATGACATGTATGGTCATAGAGGAAAGGATGTTGGAAAATTAAAGAAAAAATAACAAGTTGGCTAATCCATAACTAAAAAGGAAGATAAACTGGAAGAAACAAATACCAAGCAATACTGCAGATAAGTACAATCAAAATGTTTTAGTTACAAACAATTAATGCAGATGCCCTTAAAGCACCTTCATCTTGCCACAATTTTCTTAGGTTTTGGGGTAGCTGCCTCATTAGTAGCTCGAAAGAACATTTTCCATTAGTTCCTTCTGCTTGCAACAGAACTTGTTTAATCTATGCAACACATAAAAATTTTAAGGAAGCAAAGAAAAATTAGTGGGAGTAGAACATAGAGCATACCTTTTTACAAATCTAAACAATTCCAAATATTCCAAAATCATTAAAGAACCAAATTCAAATCTTTAGATTGTTCCTTCTGAGAAATGGATGCATTTTCATTAATGTAAGAGGCGGCTATCAAGTGTAGTCATATATGTAAATATTGGACTACTAGACGTTATGAAACTTTTACTAAACTAATGAAATCAAGATAGTTCGTTGATACCAAAACCAAAAATCCTATTTGTATAAGATTTATGTGAACATTATTGCTTTACCATTAACTTTCAGATTTCAGTTTTACCTAAAGTCAGAGAAGGAACCAAACTGACTGACATGCTGCATGGAGGTTAAGAAGAACCAAATATACAGCTCCAATAACTACTACAATACTAGGAGAAGGAATTTGATATTAACTTAGGACAAGACAACCATGGCACGAAAAAAAAAAAAAACACAAAGGGAAACTTAAAACCCATGGCATGACGACTAAAGAAACCCTAAATAACATACAAAATCTTACTAGGAAAAGAATCTAACGCAGGGGAAAATAATCAAACGTAAAATAGGAGGTCCAAAATAGAATCAAACGCAACCAATAGGAAATACAGCTCCAAAATGGAAAAAGCCGAGAATTACCAGATTTAGAATGAAGAATGTGAGACAGGAGTTCTCGACTTCCACGGAAATCAAAGACGATGGCCCATATTTTGGCATCCCTTCAACCATATAAAAAGGAGCACAAAGGCGATCTTTTAACACCAAAATACTACCGATCGAAGTAGGGGAAACGGCGACGGAAGGTGGACGGAAATCACGCACGGAAATTTTAGAGAATCCCAATAGCCAGAACGAAGTGGGGAGAAGGCTATTTTAGACACGGGAACGGATAATGAATACCTAAGGGAGATGGGGATAGATATTCCCGAAAAACAGTAAAAAAATCAATGTTGGTATTAATTCATTCATGACACTTGATAATGTGGTCAAATTCAACGTGGATATCCTTCGGAAAAAAAATCCCCCCAAAAAAGAACTAAACGGCGAAGAGGGAGGGAACGGTAATACATAAGAAGAATCTATTTCCTGTCAACATGATTTAACTTCACATAAGATAAAATAGAGATAAGTTATTTTTATATTATGAGTGATTATAAATTAATATTTGTTTATAATAATTTTAGTTTGTTGATAATGTGTGCATATTCTACAACACTAATATTTAATTCGTGTATTTTTTAAGAAAACAATATTATTCATTATCACTAAAATCATTCTATGAATTCGATAGGAATGAAGTTACGTGCAACTTGAAAGAGACTATAATTTCTTTTTTTAATTAGTTAATTGATTTTTAGGTTTCTTACTTTGAAGCTAGACATATAAGTATGGACCCTCTTGAACTTGGATTCAATTGTCTTTTAGGTCCTTTTAAATTTGAAACTAGGTGATTACTTCCTGACCCCTCATTTTTTTGGGTACAAATACTTTTAAATCCCTCAAGTTTAAAATCAATAAATTAACTTTAACCTACCATGTTTCGGTTAAGTATTGTTTAAGTTATTTGAAATTTTAAATTAAATAATTAGATTGTAGTCCTTCTATTTTTAATTTTAAATCGATGATTTAACAGTTAAACTCTAATCATCATTTCATTCTCATTTATATTTATCCCCTAAAATTTTATTTTGACTTAATCTTGAGGATGAACCTTGTTCATCATGTGGAAATGATTGTCAACACAAACATAAATTTGTGTATAAATTAAAGGAAAATTATAACAGAAGTTTTTGTTAAAAACTGATTAAATAATGTTTATTTCACCAAGGCCAAAAGAGCTCTCCTTCTTAATATTTGATCTTGGTCATAATTTTCTAGTCAAATTCTATCATTAACCCCTATACTACGGCTGTAAACGAGACGAGACGAGCTACTCGAGATCGACTCGATCAAGGATCGATAAATACTCGAATCGAATGGACTCGACTCGAGCTCGAGCTCGACATGAGTTCTTAACGAGCCCTAACAAGCTACTCGATATTCGACTCAAAAAGCTCATGAGCAGCTCGAAAATTGTTATATTAATTTTAGATTTTTTAAAATACATTATTAAATATATTAAAATATACTATTGATAATTATAAAATTAAAAATATTAAAATTCTATAATACAACTACCTCAAATTTTAATTAATGTCCTTGTAATGAACCCTAAACCCTACCCTAACCCTAAATCATAACCATGAACCATAAATTATACTTACCTCATAAATCGGTATCAAGTCAATTAATTAATGTCTTTGCAATAAACCATAAACCACAAACCATAAATCATAAAACCTAAACCCTAAAACCTAAATCCAATTATGTGATAGAGGTTAAGTTATGCACATGAAGGTAACATACAAATTATGCAAAATTGTTATGTGACTCCTAATAATCAATCGCATACATATACATAAACATCAACATGAAAATAAATATACACAACTAATTAAAGAAAACAATCCTAAACAGGGACTAAATTAAGAGAAATCTAAATGGAGGACTAATTTAAGCTAAATATACTAACTTTAGAATGATTAAATTTACGTAAATGTAAAATTAAACTTACAAAATTGGAATTAAACCAATGACTTAAATACAAAATGCGCATAAACTATAAGTCTTATATGCAATTGATCCTATTCGGTTTAAGCTAAAATAATGGAAATAACATAAATGACACTGATTTAAAACAAAAAAATTTAACAAATGTGATTGAAATACAAAAATTAAATATAACATACCAAACTATAAATTTATTAAACATGCATATACATATTAAACTAATGACTAAATTTAATAAAATAAATTTAACATACAAATCTAGAATTAAATTAGGGATTACAAAAGGGTGCTCAATTTAAGGGACTATAACTTAATTTACCAACAATTATATGAAACTCCAAGTTGTAATTAGTTTATTAGTTGACTGCTCAGTTTGTCTCTTTCTGTGCGGAAAAATCAAGTCTCGTCTCCCTCTTGAAGCACAAGGTTCAGACTCTGCAGACCGAAGCTACCACCTTGTCTGCTCAGCTAACACTTTTACAGGTTGAAATTTTAGAGCATAGCATGTTATATCGATATTTCCTAGCTTTAGTTCTCTGTTCTCATTATCGACTTTAATTGATGTAGAGAGATTCCGTTGGGCTCACAAATCAGAACAATGAGTTGAAGTTTCGTCTTCAAGCCATGGAGCAACAGGCACAACTTCGTGATGGTATGATCCAATTTTCATTTAACTTAAATCTCTGGCCTTTTTCATTTGATTAAGTCAGAGTTTTGAACAGTAAGGAATGCAATGGATGACTAATTTGATGTGTCAAGCAATCTTATTTAGCTCTTTGAATAGTAACATGCTTTGATTAGTGTTTTGAATACTTAGCTAACATTTTTGTTCTGGATCTTCGGGTTAGTGAGTGATGACCGAGTTAGGCCTTAGGAGTTTTTGGTTTGAAAATAATTACTATCTCTTTCTCCTTTTTACTGCAACCTTATCTGGAGATGGAGATGGGGATCGGAGTGAAGGTGGGGGTGAATTTGGACAACCCCATTGCTGTGATGTTCTAAGTGTTTGAAAGTAGTTCATATCCCACATCGTGGTTCTTGGGGAATAAGGTAAGAGTGTATAAAAGGGGATGGGTTTCAACAATTAAAAATTAACCCTCTTCGAGCTTCAAACGAGCTTGAATCGAGTTCAAAGTCGAGCTGGAATTGAGTTTCAATCGAGCTCGTTTCGGTCGAGCTCTTGAATTTTTTTGAGTTCGAGCCTTTTCGAGTTCGAGTCGAGTTTGAAAATTTTAGGCTCGCGAGTTTTTCGAGTCAATTCTAGCTTACATTTAAAGTTTCGAGTTGAGTCGAGCTCGGCAATATTCGAACTCGACTCGGCTCGTTATACCCCCCCTATATTGATTAAATTTCATATTAAATCATTACTCTCTGATCTAGTTCATTTGTTCATATGTTTTCGAGCTATGAAATTTTAATTTTGACTCAAATATAGAGACATATAATTAAGTATAAGATCTTAAAATGATCAATTTGGTGAATAAGAGTTAATCTACAATTTAAGTGTATAAAAGAATATAACATAAATTGAATTACAAATCTAATAACTATGGTTGAATTAGGATTAAAATTTGATATGTAAAGTACAATACAATACCTTTAGTACTTAAACTGTTACTTTTCTTTACATTTTGGTACAATTTATTATTACTTAAATTGTTACTTTCTTTTGTTTTGGTACCCAAACTTATTATTATTTTTCAAAATCATATTAATGTTTAGTTTTGTTGCATTTGGTACATTGCTGTTAAAAACTTAATAGAAATATTGACGTGGTATTTTTTAAAAGAAATTTAATGATGATGACATTATCTTATGGTGACTCGTCAACATCACCGTTAAGTTTTTAAGGACGATGTACTAAAATTAAACTAACTAAACGTTAGGTATTATTTAAAAAATAAAGTTAGATACCAAACAAACAAAATTATTTAAATACTAACGTCTAGTTTACCCAAATTTAAAATCCTGACCATTTGGGACCTCCCTTGTGTTGTTGGCAAGTCTGATCAATATTATTTTACATATAATGTCATATTGTATCTAAAGTTAATATGCTTATAAATTATTAATTATCAATTAAGTTCGATATTGCTTTTGAAAAATGATTTAAAAGTATAAAAATATTTTTTAAAGTATTTTTGAAAAAAATGTATTGTAAAATTTAATTGTTTGAGATTGATATTAAAAATAATTTTAAAAAGATAAAATGTCCATTTTAAACATTATGTTGTAATTGAAAATATAGTATTTGGAGGATAAAATAAATTTCACCCAAAAGTAATTTTTCACAACCAAAAGCTAAAATTTGAGCTTATAAGGTTAAGTTAAAAATCTCTTTTCCAACCATGGTTTTAAATCAATTTTTGAGTGTTTAGCATTGCATATGGGATGGAAATCACTTTCCATTACTAAAACATTCCCAATTAATTCTAGAGAATTTTGTATAACTAATTATCGTAAATATTATTTTTCTCTCTCTCGGAATAATAGTGTAATTTAGATGCAATTAAATTTTAAATTACATAGAAATTATTATATCTAACTAAATAAAATAAATACAAACACCAAAGTACACATGGTAGAGAAGAGGGGGGGGCGGGAAATTACAAAGAATCAAATTATATGAAGATTCTCATAACGAAAAGAATCTCATATGGCTTATAGGTCCCAGATGGCCGAAAGCATCATCAGCATGAGGCCACCCCGCTGCGAGGCATGCCTTCAAACCGACACCGTTAGATGATGCCGGAGGTGGTGGCAGAGAACTTCCGGGTGATTCAGCTGAAGGAACTTCGGGAGACGACGGGGTGCCCGGAGCAGATCCTGGGGGTGTTCCTGCTGATGCCAAGGTATTGACTTCAACCTTCATTCCTTGGCCACAATGTCCGGGTGTTCCGCATATGAAGTAACGCGTCCCCGTGAAGACAAAGCTAGACCGTGTTGCCACCGGTGTGAGTATCGATCGCGTTACTCGTTGAGCAAGAGTAGTAGTTCGCCTTCGTCACCTCAACCACATCTGGTTTGAGGTGTACTGGAAGACTGCAAGTTATTAAACATGTATGTTAGGATCAAAACTCCTCATTGATGCCTATTGAAAAATTTCAAATTCTCATATAATTTGTGAACTTGCCCAGATTATCGCTTACGGTAAAAGTCTGGGATCCGGCCCAAGATGCAAGGTCGGTGCTTGTGTCCCAACTTCCATTGGGAGCTCCGACTGTGATCCACCGCCATGGCTAACTGGAAACATTGCAGCGGCAAAAACACTAATAATTCTCTATGCACTGTCATTTTCCTGGCTATGGAAGATGGTGATCAAAGTATAAAATAGATTAATTTGGAAAAGATTGATTGGATATGCCTTGTCTTAAGAGTTGGTTTATATACAGCAAGATGATTGAAGACCATGGAAATGGATTTTCAAATGGAAGAGATAGGATTAGTTTATTAATTTACCTGCCGGAGTTTATTTGATTAGTGTATGAACACTGGCAATGGCAACTTGTTTTCTCAAGGATATACCAAATTCTCTTGTTTTTTACTATTTTTTTAAAGTTTATAAAAATTAATACTTCCTTCTCTTATCTTCTTGCTCTCGACCACTCCTTCTAGGTTTCATGGATTTTTTTAGTAGAGAGAATCTATATTAATTGAATCTTAAAATACAATCAATTTTTTTTGTTGGAATTTTCATTGAACTATAAGTTGATATGATTGTAGCATTAAAATTTAATTTTGCATGAAATTTGTTGTTGGGTTTTAACCTATTAACAATCGGGTGATATAATAATTTAGTACTGACATGGTGTTGACGTGTAAGTCATAAATAATTTTTATTTTATATTGTCATCTTTTTCATTAAAATTAAGATTTTTCCGATCATTTTTTAGTCTTCATGAGAAATAATCACTCTTCGATATCTTTTACGACCACTCAAGACACATATGACTCGTCTCATCGCCTTCTACCACTTTATAGTTCAAATTTTCTCAAAATTTCTTTAAAACTCACGAAATTAAACAATAAAACGACTATTTTTTAGGATTTGAGGGTTTTCTTAGATTTCATAGGTTTGTGGTGTTTGTTTGAAAATTAAACATGATAATCATTATTTCGAGAATACGAACAATATATCACAACTTTAGTCTCATTAAAAGCCATTAGAGGAGATCAAGTATTAACAAATCAAATATTATAGAATTTTTATCGATTTTGAGTGAATTTTATAGAAAAATTTATACACAAATTAAAAGGTTTATATAATCCTAAAAATGATATTGATTTGAGCATCAATATATCTACACTAAGACGACGTTGTTTTGGTCACATTATCACATTGACGGAAATTATTTGCCATGTCACATGTCGTTTACCAGTAAGAGTTTTATGATATAATTCTGCAAACTAATTTTAGTGCTATAATTATATCAATATCTAGTTTAAGGGTAAACTATGCATATAGTCTCTTATGTTTTCGGTCTTACAGATTTTGGTCACCAATTTAAAAATTAAGGGAAATGGTCCCTAACATTATCAATTCGTTCGATTTTAGTCCTTAATGTTATCGATCTGTTAGATTTTAGTCCCTCAGTCATTAACTCCTAATCAATTTTAGTCCCTCAACCACGTTAGGGACTTAAACAAAGTGGTTAATGAAAATTAATAGTAGAGGACTTGAACTGGACGGACCAATAATGTAGAGATCATTTACCTTTAATTTTTAAATTGATGACCAAGTCTGTCAAACCCTAAGAAAAGGGATTACTTTGCATAGTTTACCCATAGTTTAATGATAAATTCAATAAAAATCAATGATACCTAATATATTAAATGTTAAAGTTGATAAAACTAGTTGCTTTATTAAAAATTAATATAAACATACATAAAATTCACATGAAATTATGGCTTATTGGCTATTTTGCACATGTTTCTTTTATTTTTAATTTTGAATAGTTTGAGTGATTATAATGTAGTATATATCCAGAATTTCCTTAATCAATTGACAATATATACACACCCTACAAATGTAGTTACTTGAACCCAAAACTTATAGAAAAGTAACATTATCTTTTACTATTGAGGTCACTCGATGGATTCCCAAGATATTTTTTTAAAAAACAAACTATTTTGCAAGGGTTGAACTATTGTTTAGAGTAATATAATAATATTCTGCCATCTACTAGTTATTGATCGGTTTGTGCATCTCAAATGAACAATCAGAGCGGCCCGCATCGTTTGACTAACAACTTTCTATAACTCATGTAATATATATACATATACGTTGTAGAAGATAAACCCAAAAGGTGGAACTAATTTGATAATCATTTAGTTTGTCTTTATTTTAATTATTATACAAAGAGAGCAATTGGTTGTTGGCTTCCATGTGAATGAAGGATATTATATAAGTCCAAAATTCTTTAGAGGACCATTTCGTAATATACATACATTTAAACGAATAACATATAACAGGAAATTTAAAAATGAAAATAAAAGAGTATTTTTAAACCCTAGAACTTTAGATACTTATATAGTTGTACGGATTCAATAACTTTAGTTTCGTTCTTTAATTTGTCACTAATAAAATGTCACTTCATCGTATTTATTTGTGGATCCATTCAAGCGTAAATGTAGA